TCTGAAACTAACTCGTGATTTCAGGTTTTATGTCCAAATAAGTAGTAGGGCTTCAGCAAAGATAAGCCTTGCGATGGATTAGGTGGATTAGGTGCCTAGTCAATGACGTCACCCATTGTTATAACCTACATACTAATTTGGATTAGGTTTATTAATGAGCGTCACTCTACTACAATAGGAACAATAGGCTTGCCTAGACTTGCCCGGGATCTTTTAACCCTAATTGGATAGTAAACAATCTATTATGAGTTTAACATAAAAGCGGGCTTTCCCTTCAGTATTTCATTCTCGCAATCGCTTTACTAAGGAAAAAGTCTTACTATCACCAATATTTTTTAAAACATTGCTCCAAACGTGCAAGTCGAATCGAGCTGTAAACTTGTCTGACTATTACAGAACCGTTTTCTCCTTTCTATCTCGAGGAAAAGAAAAACTATTGAAGTCTTGTCATTTTCACGCACGGTTAATCAGTTAATTATGCGAGTTCACAAGCCCAAAGTTGAATACAAATTAGCTCTACAGCTAGACCCCAGGGAGCAACCTTGACGTATCATTATGAAACAAATAACTTAACAAGCATCAATTAAAACACGCGACTCATAATTGCTAGCAATAAAAAGACAAGAGAGATATCGTTTTAAAAAAATTTATTAAAAAACAATGACAAAAAGAGTCAAATACACAGGAATGGAAATTAATTAATCTTCATCTTCGCCCATGGAGTACTTGTAAGGTTTGAATTTCTTATGCCGACGTTTCTTCTGCTGTTTGCCATGAGATTTATGATCATCCAAATAATTTAGAAATTGAATCCGACGCCTTTTGCGCTTCGGGCCTTGTGGTGATGGGGTTTCTACTGTGGGAGGAGGGGTCAGGAAAGCAGGATTTAAGGGTGGTGGAGGGGTGAGGCTTTCTTTGTCAGCTTTTTGAGAGATAGCCGCTTGTGTTAATTCAGGTGTTACATTAAAGGGTTTGAGGGGAGTCGAGAATGCTGTCGTTGCTGTCGAAGAATCTTGTGTCCTTGATGCTAAGTCTGGAACAGTACTGATTATTTCTTCCGGTCGTGTTCTTGTATTTAATTGTTCTTTAAAAGCCAGGTATCTGTTTTGCAACTGAACGTATCGCTTAGCTTTTTTATCGCCCCGAAGATCGTTTCGAGAAAGCACGTCATTCATGTTGCCCTGTATTTCTTGCATAGCTGGAAGAAGTGGGACAGGCGAAAGAGTTTGCTGCTTCAGATATTTTAGGAGCTCTTGAGGAATATTTTCTTGAAACCCTGCTTGGTTAAAGCCTTCTTCACTGGGCAGGACGTTTGTTCGCAACCGACAATTATCTTGGGTAGTAGTTTTCACATCAATCAGAAGATAACCAAAAGGTCTTTTTACAGCCTCTTCGTACTTATTTAAAAAGAAATCAGTCTGCCCAGGATGCATTTGCTTCGCCAGAGTCAAGATTTGCAATTTGTCTCGTGGATTCAGATAATGGCTGTTTAGGCTTATGCTGCGGCTACCTTTCCACTGATGAAATAGATTCTGCACGATATAAATCACGCTCAGATTGCGATGATGAGAACCACGAGTAAAGAGGTTCACAATTCGCTTGTCTTTACTGGCGTCAATCATCTGATCATCAAACACGATCAAATTCCGTTTGTTCACATCAAAATAGGAATCTTACTCCAAAGCCGTAGGAATTCCCTTGACGAATTCAATGTTTGGCATGGCGACTAACATTTGTGTATACGCAGGCGGCCATTGTGAATAACACCAAACGATCCTCTCCGGGGGAGGGTAAATGGTCTCTGAAGCTTGTTGCAATAGCGATCGAACCTAGGCCGTTTTTCCGGACCCGGTCATTCCGGCAATCATGGAGGTGAAAGGATGCTCGAAGCGAAACCGCTGACATTTCTGTGAAAATATTGGAACTGTTTGAAATGGGGTGAGACCAGCATTGCGGTGTTTAGACATCACGTGCCTTTGCATACTATCTTTTCTACTAAAGGATTTTTCGCAGACAGAACAGAACCAACTCATGTCAACTCCTCAGGAGCAAAATGTAGACTGAGATGAGGTAGAATGTTGCGCATTTATATAGGTTTTCAGACCACAAGATTCTATTGTTTTCCTCCCCCAAGACCACCACTACCACCACCACCACATTTCTATTGTTTTCTTTCCTCCACCACCGCCACCACATTTCTATTGTTTTCCCTCCACCACCACCACCACCACCACCACCACCACCACATTTCTATTTTTTTCCCTCCACCACCACCACCACCGCCACCACATTTCCATTGTTTTCCCTCCACCACCACCACCACCGCCACCACATTTCTATTGTTTTCCCTCCACCACCACCACCACCACCACCACCACCACCACCACATTTCCATTGTTTTCCCTCCACCACCACCACCACCACCACCACATTTCTATTGTTTTCCCTCCACCACCACCACCGCCACCACATTTCTATTGTTTTCCCTCCACCACCACCACCACCGCCACCACATTTCTATTGTTTTCCCTCCACCTGATTCTATAAAAGACTACCAACTGCCATTCTTAGTTCATTTTGTAGCAATGTCTCGTGTTGTGAACAACAATCGTGGTTTTCTTCAGCTGTTAGCTGCTTGTCCCGCTTATCAGCGTCAGTTTCTTTTAAAGACAGCTACATCACAGCAACTTCATGCACTAGTCCAAGTCTTATACAATTTACTCTTGGGACACATTCCTATCTCCGAAGAAAATAAGCGGGTATTGCTGCCATATAAGGATGCTTTACTTAACCTGGCCAGTCAAAATCAAATGTCCCTTTCAAAACAATGAAGCGAGTCCTTGTTCAAGAGGGTAGTGGTTTTATTGAAGATGTATTAGCCCCTATCGTTTCAAGCTTAGGATTTCTAATGCTATAAAAGAGGTGACACATCGCTAGGTTGATCATTCGAAGCTAAGTCTGTCACGGGTGCTCATCAAAAATGAAGAGAAAGATAGATTTGGTTGAAGAAGAAGATCACGAGAGTGAACATGAAGAAAGCGAAAGTTTTGGTGATGAAAGCGAGGATGAAGAACCAAGAATAAAAGAAGAACCGAGAATAAAAGATGTTTTGAGTCATCTTTCCCGAGCAGTGCCGGAAAAGCGTGCTTCTGATTTGCTGCATAGTATGGCTGCGTCCAAAGATATTCTTTTCTGGACCCCCAGCGGACAATTACTTCGAAATAAACGCACTATTCCCCGTCACAAACATCGCTGAGCTAGTTGAGTATGTGTTACTCCCTCATAACAATGAGGTTACCAAGCCTCGTGCGCTGAATACATTTCTAGATGGACTGGCAGAGTTAGGAATCGATAAAGGTTTAATCAAGAACAAAAAGTTGTTAAGTGATTTAATAGAAAAGGAAAAAGGCTACCAAAATGTAGAAAATACTTCCGATAACGAGAGTAATAATGAGGAGAGTTCATCGGATATTGAAAATCAGGAGGAGGAGGAGGAAGTGGCTTCTGAGAATGGCATTGAAGCGGAAGACACCCAAGAGAGCGACAACGACACTGAAAACGACAGTCAGGAGATAGAAAGTAATAACCCTGAAAAGTCCACCACCTTTCACTCCAAACGTCCCTGTGAACACTGCGAAAACTCTAATGTGTACGGTACATTGATCATGAAATGTCCTAAATGCCTTTGGCACGATTACTACAAGATTTGTCCTATATGCGATCACCAGATTCCCGAGGGGAGACATTACATGAAAGAGGGCTTTCTTCGATGTCACGATTGCGGAGCAGTTACACACAAAAACGCGGAGACGTTGGAAACCAACTTCTATTCCCCTTCTACTGAGGAGAAAGAAGATGAAGATAAATTAATTTCCATTCCTGTGTATTTGACTCTTTTTGTCATTGTTTTTTAATAATTTTTTTTTAAAACGATATCTCTCTTGTCTTTTTATTGCTAGCAATTATGAGTCGCGTGTTTTAATTGATCCTTGTTAAGTTATTTGTTTTATAATAATACGTCAAGGTTCTCTCTTGGGGTTTTTTCCTGTAGAGCTAATTTGTATTCAACTTTGGGCTTGTGAACTCGCATAATTAACTGATTAACAGCGCGTGAAAATGACAAGACTTTCATTTCCTCGAGATAGAAAGGAGAAAATGTCAGACAAACTTGAAATAAAGAGTTTTCAGCTCCAATTTGGGTATGTTTTGTTTACATGAGGATCCGCAAGACTTAGAGATCGGCGAAGTCGGTCATCTGAAATGACCGATTGCGCAATGTAAAACAAAAGACGTGTTGACAACTCATAGAATACGATCCTCTCTAAATCATCACGACTGAATGTTTCATTTTATTTACAAGTCATCGTTTGACAACTTAACCAAATTAATTAGAAATTTGATTCATTGCACTCAATGGAAACACAGAAAAAAACTCGTGGGACCTTTCAAAGCAAGCCGCGACAAACGGCGAGTAAAACGCGTGAACAATTTTGCGTGTGAGCTGCAAATGCCAAGTTAAAAACTATTTTTCTTGCGAGTGAAATATTTGGCTAAAAGCTAGGAAAACTAAATGCCCGCCGTAACAATTATTCCGAAACCAAATCTTACATAGAATTCTTTAGTCAGTTTGCGAAGGTTAACGCAAAATTTAATAGTACAATATTTATTTTGCCAACGGAAGGCCTCGTTGCTTGAACGACTATAAACTGCAAGCAGTCTATTATTTTCCTTTACAAAGCCGCGAACTGCTAAATGCGGGCGTCTCGACCTTCACTGATTTCACTGAAAAGCTTTGGCCGAGAACGGAAAGCGCGGGCATTGAAAGTCTCTGGCACCCAGGGTAAATTCTCTATTCTAAAGTTGTTGTTTACAATCTCGTTAGCTGGAATAAGAACTAAACAGATTTTAAGAGAAAAGGCGGGCTGCAAACAGTCTAGAAAGACTTTCTTAAATGTTTGAAATAAACACGACTTAACAACTCGTAATGTTGTGAGACGTGACCTTAGAGTTTGCTTGAACAACAGGGGTTTTCCTTCTTTCCCTCGTCGCGCGTTGGTCACCAATGCCGCACATCGAGCGTTCTAAAATTGTATTTTTTTCCGCCGCACTGAGACTTACATTTAGCGGTCATGAAAATGGTCTATGCAAAAAAAGGCGGCCTACAAGCAGTCTAGAAAAACTCTCTTAATTGTTTGAAATAAACACGACTTATAAACTAGTAATAATGTGAGACGTGACCTTGACCTTGCTTGAACAACAGGGGTTTTCTTTGTCGCGCGTTGGTCACTATGCCGCGCGTGGAGCGTTCTAAACTTTTACTGAGCGAATCTTATTTTTTTCCGCGACATACATTTCGAGGTCAAGAAGATGGCCCATGTATATTGGGTAATTATTTTCTAAAAATAAAGATTTTAGTTTCTTTAGTTTTTTCTCAAGATCATTTTAAGACGCTGATGCAGTCCATTAAGTTTTTCTTGGAACAAGTGAGTCTTTGAACTAGAGCGCCATTTTTTTCTGTAGGTATTAAAGTATTATGCCTGCCAAGATTGCTTGATATTAGACTTCAAAAGTTTCTACATTTTTAAATCTTTATGATATGAGTTTTCATATGAGCGAAAAGCTTTTAGACACATAAACGTATAAAGTTTATGGTGCCTCCGGTTGATTTTTTGCTCTTCAAGGGCTATTGCTTGAACAAAGCCTTCTGGAGCATCTAAAGGTTGGTAGTTGTTAAAATGATAATACTAGGTTAATAAATACATGTTTCAATACTAAGGAAAACTATTCACTTGTTCATTCCCCTGCAGTTTAAGGCAAAACGCAATAGAATCCAGCCTTATCCTAAATGCACAGAAAAAGATACAAAACTCAACAGAAAGGACAAATAGAATAGCATAGAGTTCATGCCATTATCAATAACAACCCTTTATGATCCAGTGTAACTGCAAACAACAATATTTTCTAAATGACCGATTGTCAGTAAGAGAAGTATAATGTCAAAAAACCATTCCCAAAACCTACTCACTTAAGATGACCATTAGATAAGTTTACAGGTGAATTAAAAATGCGATGAATTTCTAACTCACAGAAACACGGGCGACACACTTAGTGTTCTGTTGCATTTCACAATTTGCACTTAAGGAGTCGCAGATCATCATGGCATTATCAAAAACCTACTCACTCAAGATGACTATTAGATAAGTTTGCAGGTGGATTAATAATGCCATGAATTTCTAACTCACAGAAACACGGGCGACACACCTAGTGTTCTGTTGCATTTCACAATTTGCACTTAGGAGTCGCAGAACATCATGGCATTATTAAAAACCTACTCACTCAAGATGACTATTAGAAAAGTTTGCAGGTGGATTAACAATGCCATGAATTTCTAACTCACAGAAATACGGGCGACACACCTAGTGTTCTGTTGCATTTCACAATTTGCACTTAAGGAGTCGCAGAACATTATGGCATTATCAAAAACCTACTCACTCAAGATGACTATTAGATAAGTTTGCAGGTGAATTAATAATGCCATGAATTTCTAACTCACAGAAGCACGGGCGACACACCTAGTGTTCTGTTGCATTTCACAATTTGCACTTGAGGAGTCGAAGATCATCATGGCATTATCAAAAACCTACTCACTCAAGATGACTATTAGATAAGTTTGCAGGTGAATTAATAATGCCATGAATTTCTAACTCACAGAAACACGGGTGACACACCTAGTGTTCTGTTGCATTTCACAATTTGCACTTAGGAGTCGCAGAACATCATGGCATTATCAAAAACCTACTCACTCAAGATGACTATTAGATAAGTTTGCAGGTGAATTAATAATGCCATGAATTTCTAACTCACAGAAGCACGGGCGACACACCTAGTGTTCTGTTGCATTTCACAATTTGCACTTAGGAGTCGCAGATCATCATGGCATTATCAAAAACCTACTCACTCAAGATGACTATTAGATAAGTTTGCAGGTGAATTAATAATGCCATGGATTTCTAACTCACAGAAACACGGGCGACACACCTAGTGTTCTGTTGCATTTCACAATTTGCACTTAGGAGTCGCAGATCATCATGGCATTATCAAAAACCTACTCACTCAAGATGACTATTAGATAAGTTTGCAGGTGAATTAATAATGCCATGAATTTCTAACTCACAGAAGCATGGGCGACACACCTAGTGTTCTGTTGCATTTCACAATTTGCACTTAAGGAGTCGCAGAACATCATGGCATTATCAAAAACCTACTCACTCAAGATGACTATTAGATAAGTTTGCAGGTGAATTAATAATGCCGGGAATTTCTAACTCACAGAAGCACGGGCGACACACCTAGTGTTCTGTTGCATTTCACAATTTGCACTTAGGAGTCGCAGATCATCATGGCATTATCAAAAACTTACTCACTCAAGATGACTATTAGATAAGTTTGCAGGTGAATTAATAATGCCATGAATTTCAAACTCACAGAAACACGGGCGACACACCTAGTGTTCTGTTGCATTTCACAATTTGCACTTAGGAGTCGCAGATCATCATGGCATTATCAAAAACCTACTCGCTCAAGATGACTATTAGATAAGTTTGCAGGTGAATTAATAATGCCATGCATTTCTAACTCACAGAAGCACGGGCAACACACCTAGTGTTCTGTTGCATTTCACAATTTGCACTTAGGAGTCGCAGATCATCATGGCATTATCAAAAACCTACTCACTCAAGATGACTATTAGATAAGTTTGCAGGTGAATTAATAATGCCATGAATTTCAAACTCACAGAAACACGGGCGACACACCTAGTGTTCTGTTGCATTTCACAATTTGCACTTAGGAGTCGCAGAACATCATGGCAGTATCAAACACCCACTCTTGAATACATACAGATAGATGGAAAAGAAGAATTTCTTCTTAAAGTTAAATGTCGCCCTTTAAACAAACATAATTGTAGTGTTTTCTGTCAAAAAAATTTCACTTTTCTTTAAGACCTCTGTATGCCTAATCACATTTGCAAAACAGTTTCTGAGATCAGCCTTTATGAAAAAAAAAAAACATTATTAGCCATTGAAAAGTGACAGGGATTAAAGTGAAAGGAGAAAAAAATGAATTTAAATAAGGGAAAAACAATGGGCTTCAAAAATTATGTCCCACAATAATTACAAGAAAATGATATTTCAACAAACAATAAACTGGTTAACTGACCTCATTTCTCACAATTTGCTATGCAAGTTGGTATACTGACTTTGTTATTTAATAAAAGCGAGTCATACCCATTGTTACTTGGTTGTTTCCTGAGTGAAGGATGTGTACAGAGATTTTGGATTGGCGGGCTATTTTGGGGAATTGGCGGGCTATTCGATTTTGGCGCCAATGGACAGAACCCTTGAATCAAAATGAACTGATCCAGTCCACCACCTCTTGAAATCCGCTTCTAGAAACATGATTTAGCTAAGGGACTTGTGGCGAATGATATCGAGCGACAGCGGACCAAAAAGCCCCCTCCATC